TTTAGATACAGTAGTGTTAGCTACATCTCCACAGCACGAGTTCACTGTCTTTCTTTTCCCCGTCTGTTGTACAACCCTGACACAACAGTGGAGCCGTGTCTAATTGCCTTTGGTACTCGCTTCAAAGCTCCAACTCCCCTTGCGCTCATCTCCTGGGCAAGATGCTTTAACGTGCCAGGTACTGAAGAAACTCACCCCTGAGTTTGCAACATTATATAAATCAGATAGACGTAAATATCAACTTAGGAATGTGTGTGTGTGTTTAATTATAATTCTGCCATAACTCTGCTAATCTTACGACTTTTGAGAACAACACTTGGTATTTCCATATTAAATGAGGTAAATTCAAGCGTGGCGACAAGAAAAAATACACAGAGTGATCTTCTTGAGGTGCTGCAGTACACTTAAGACTGTCACAACATTGTGTGTAAGCTGCAGGATATATTTTAAGAACCAGTTATTGTACCCATTTTGTTTACAGCACAGGTTATAATTAATCTCTGGCATTTCATAGAGACCGTGTTCCTGTGTTGATGCGATAAATGCCGGCACTGGGAGACAGACTGTCTGTGCTGTGATCCACCTGACAACACCTGGTTAGTTTTAGGGATTCTCTTCTCGGTGTCGTAGCCTGGAGCAAGTGAAGCGTGTTGATGTGCAGCATGTTTTATTGCAAGGGGTTTTGGAGATGAACAAGTCTGCGTATTCAGGCATATACATTCATTCATACGTATTCATGCATAGAGCGCAACCCTAAGCTTTTCGCTAACATAGGCAGTTTTTTGGTAAGAAATTTCATGTAGTTGGTTCTTAAGAATTCTCCGTATTCTGTCTACTTGTTGGGTTTGTCATCTTTGGTGTTAAATATTCAGTCCTAGCGCGTAGACTACCTGAAAGGAGGGTGTAGAGAGGTGGGGATTGGTCTCTTCTCTCAAGTCACAGGTGACAGGACAAGAGGAAATGGCCTCAAGTTGCGCCAGGGGAGGTTCAGGCTGGATATTAGGAAAAATTTTTTCACTGAAAGGGTTCTCAGCCATTGGAATGGGCTGCCCAGGGAGGTGGTTGAGGCCCCATCCCTGGAGGTGTTCAAAAGACGGGTTGATGTAGTGCTGGGAGGTCTGGTTTAATGATGATGCTCCTTGTTTGTTGTGTGGGTGTCTATTTTTGTCAAAATTAGGTTAATGGTTGGACAAGATGATCTTTAAGGTCCCTTCCAACCTAGAAGATTCTGTGATTCTGTGACTCAAGCAGAATGTCTCACACCATCAGTAAGTATTCCCCATATGTCTAAGCACAAGGCTTTGCGGATGGATGGGAGCAGCAAGGTTTGGGAACAAGAATAATGTCTGTGTGTCCACGTGTGCAGTATCATTTTGGGCTATTTCCATATAAGTATATAAGAGTTTTATGAACAAAAACTTTGATGGAGACTGAGAAGCCAGACTGTTGGTTTGGGCACCTTACAGTCTGATTTCTTTTGCAGGGTGGAGTGTGAAAGCAATCAAGATGCGGATAAACCTGGTGAAACTGTGTGTATATTGGTTGGGGAAGAGGCTGGGAAGGCTGGCTATGGATACTCAATAGATCTATCAAGCTATATTCTCTGTCAGGTTTTATTCTGCACAGGAGAAAGTTTATTGCCCAGCTGTTGACACACGAAGCATCGTGTCCGTTTGATTATAAGTAAAGCATCCCCTGCATGAGCTGATCATTTCTCCCTGAAGACACGCATCTGTCTTCCCCAGGCAAATGATTAAAAAAAAAATCTAAGAAAATAACGTGCAAAATCTTTGCCGTAAACCAGGAAAGGTTTCTGCAAGCACACAGAAAACCTAGCTCACATTCATAAATATGATTGAAAAGTTAAGCCACCTATAAAAACATCCAGTCTCACAACAATAACCATATTTTTCAAGTGGAAGTCTGTTTTCTCCCCAGCAATGAAAGATTTCTTTTAATACCCTCTCTTCTGTATGTCATAATTTGTCAGCTATCCTCTCTTATTATGACCAGATATTATCCCAGAGGCTTAGACCTACTGTTATTTGGAGAAAAATTGTACACATGGTGGGATTGCATCCGAACTAGGGTTGCAAAATAGGCTCTGCAGTTACAGTAGCTGTACCAGGAATGCGTGTTCATGGGCAAGGGTCGTTATTATGTGCAGTCAAACTCCCTGAGTTTTCATTTTCCTTCACTTGAGCTGTGTGCTTGGGCCGTGTCTGTGACCATAAAGGGAGCCTAAGCTTTTTGAGTACTAAAAGTAGTTCTGCTCAGGTTCTTATCCAGCATATCTTAATAAAATAAACAGGATGAATAAAGTTGTGTTTCAAATGTCGTACAATTCGTGCTATTCACTGAAACTTTCTCTTACTTGTCTGCTGTTGTTACCCATCTGTGAACATAAAGGATTTAATTTCTCGTGTAAGTTATTGAGTCAAAGTTACTCTACCAGTATTTTTCTGACTTTTGGGAGTTTATTATAGTCTGGTGCTGAGGATAGCTGGGGATCCTGGAGCTTATTGATGCTGGGACACCCAAGCATTCAACAGTTGAATGTCTGTTGAATGCCAGTGTAGTGGCTTTTCTGCAACTTTAGATAAAACCAAATTAAGAGCAATTCAGTTGTAATTAACTACTTGCTTCCTGATATGTGTTTTTCGGTAGGTGGATGAAATGTGAGTGTCTGTGTCTGCTACATAATCAATAGAATTAAAATCCCCAACCACTTATTTCCTCTGAAGTGATTAAAATCCACTTAGTACATAGTTTACGCTGGCCATACCGCTCCTTTGCAGCCATATGTCAAGGTAATTATTAGACAGTTTATGAAGTGCTTAAATATAAATGGTCAGCATAAATCTTCATAGCCTGTATTTTAAGAGTTTTATTCTGTTCAGCGAACAAATGAAGTCGAGCTTTGGCTGGCCTTCTTGTAGTCTCCTCCAAACTTCTGTAGTGGTATAGCTCTGTCAGCTTTCCAGGGGCAGCTTTTCTTAGTATTAAGAGACATTGAAAACACGCAGCAGTAAATGGTTCTTCTCTGATTGTTAATGTGTAAGTGGCACAAAAGATTTGGTGTTGCAACTTGTGAACAGCCATTCTGCATGTACGGGAGTCCCCGCAGAGCAACAAAAGCTCTCCTGTTTGCTCAGTGGTCTCTAATAAACCTTGATGTGCACAAGATGTGTAATTTTTGAAATCTTATTTCTCTCAAGAGATTAAGCCCAAGATCTAGTATTAAAGTCGAAATTCAATCCTTGACATTCCCTCCTCACTGTTTGGTTTATTTTCTTATGAAATTAAACAATCAATGTGAAGCCAACAACAACTTCTAAGCCAAGTTCTCCTGGGAAGCAGCATAGCTACAGTTTCAAGATTGTTGGGATTGTTGATGCCATGATGGGTCATCATCTCTAAATACTACCCCAGTACGGGGTGGGATTTGTTGAAGAGTTGATAACTTCTATTAAATCAAAAGATAGAGTTGGAAAAAAATATAAGCAGACAAGCTTGAAAAAACTCCTTTTGGAGCTTCAAAGCTTGCTGGGTTTTTCTGCAACGCTACTGCTCACTACTTCCCCCTAGACATCTTCTCTTGCTGAAATCAGTTACGTTGGTTTAAGTGGCAGTAGATGTCACCTTACCTATTTATTTTTCCATTTGATTGCATATTATTTTATTTGACGGTTTAACCAATATTTGAACTAAGTTACAAGTGATTTGTAATTAAGCCACTGGTCTGAAAGCCACCTTGCATTCTGGGGTAAATGGCTTGATTCTGAGTTTGGATCTTATTAACATGGCTGATGCATTTGTGTTATTATATTCTTGCTGACTAAAGTGGAAACAAGACTATTTCCCCATTTTTTTCCATTTTTAAAATAGAAGGTAATGCAAAACAACGTATAACATCTCCTTAGACGTTCAGGTGTATTTTTGACAGCAGCTTATTCTTGGTTGCCGTTTCTTATTGTCATGTTCTTTATCTTTGAAATAGAAACAAGGGAGTCCTGATACAGTTACACATTTTTTTTCCTTGGCTAAGCTTATTCTTTGTTGAAAGCCACGCCAGGCCAGTTCAGACTTGAACATAATTTAGAGCCATCCTAAGCAAGTGCTGACGATCGTCAGTTAACTTACAAAGACAGCATGCCATTGAGTTTTCAAAAGGGTTTGGAAAGCATAAAAAAAAAATAAATTGAAGACACTATTGATTACAGAATAAACAAATTACTGTTGCTTAATAGACTCCTCCCTTTTTGCTAGTTTGTGCCGACATAACATTAACACCTCATTTATTTATTTTTCTATCCTCTGATTTTTGTGTAGACATCTGTGCTCATCATACAGAGAAAAAAACAATGTTGTATGTGTCACATGAACTGTGCAGTGTTTAGGAATATTAGCAGCATGTCAGGCAAAGCCCAGTGTTCTACAGAATCCTCTCGGAAAATAGCTTTAAATATCTACAGTCATCTATTGTTTGTGATTTGTTCTGCTACTAGCACAACAGATATATGAAGCCGATACACAGAACAGCACTTATTTTAAAAATCAATGTGTAAAATATCGATTCCTGAAAATCCGTCTAAATCTCTAACTTTGCAGAATATATTACTTTGCCAATAAAGCTGGCTAACTCAGGAAGGAGCGTATGCGTTCTCTGGGTTACACATATATGCTCTGATAAGCAAAGATCTTGTTTAGCAATTAGCTAAATCTGAGCAGCCACTGGCCATTTTTGTCCTAGAGAGAAGCCTCCTGGGGTTCAGATAAACAATGAATGAATTTTCCTGCCTTTTGCTCTAGATGAGAGGGCACCTCAGTTCTCCACACTTGTATGCCAATGAATTAGGCTCACAACAAAGTATCACCTTTTTTTTTTTAAAAAAAAGGAAAGTAATTTTTTCTCTGTTAAGCATCTTGTTTATAAAGATTTATTAAGTTTTCGAAAAAGTACCTATTGGTCTAAAATAGTTCTCTTCTTTGCCTTCTAGTTCAATTTTGTTGGGAAGTTGCTTGGACCAAGAGGAAACTCCTTGAAGAGGTTACAAGAGGAAACGGGCGCAAAAATGTCCATCCTGGGGAAAGGATCCATGAGGGATAAAGCTAAGGTACTGTGTCTGGATTCTGGTCGAATTTAGTGTCAAAACACTTGTGCTTTAGCTGTCACACTCAAGTCCCTTGTCTACTTATTAGACAAGGGTCTACTTATTAGACTCCGTTCATAGACTCATAATAGACTCCAAGGCAAGTCTTGGTTTTTTCAAGCTACATCAAACACTTAAATACAATTTTTCTCTTGCTGTGCAAACCTTGCTTCCCATGTAATTGTGGACCTCTACGGTTACTGTATTATTACTTTTATTTAAATAATTAATCTAAAAAAGAAACCAGCTCAAAGTTTATTTATTCTGAGAAGTCCATTTCTCCTGAAAAAATGTAACTTGTATAGATCACTGCTGTAATGTTGGTGGACATGAATAGGTTTTCTCTTTTGTTTAGTGTTTCTTTAGAGATGGGATTTTATTTTTTTTTTTTTTTAAGATTGCATATTTATTCAAGGCAAAGTTCTAAAAAAGTGGATGTTTTTCCAAAATGTGTGTAAAAATGCACTATAGATAAAAGAAAATAATTGTGTTTGGAATCATTGCCTGGACAATGCACCTTAGGAAGTTATTTGTAAGGTAAGGCAGCTTCATATATATGGTACCCAAAGAGCAAGTACTCATTGCATAGTGGAGTCTTACTTTACAGTCTGTAGAACAGCAGGATTAGGGACAATACAGAAATAATGACTGCTCATTTCCCTGAACTGTATATTACCTCTGGTTAATGTTGTGCATTATTCTGCTTTCCTTTCTGTCACCTCTGTCATTCATCTCAGCAGCTAAAATAATGCAAACAATAATATGCCAAATTCAAGGACAGACTAATCAGGATTTTATGTTTGGCGTTATTTGGTCTTGATAGTGTGTATCAGCAGTCACACTTGCATTATTAGGGCTCTAATTACAATATTGGAAAAAAAAAAAACACCACCACAAAACAGACAAATTAGGCATGTAGAACATTTTTCATTTTTTCAGAGATTTCTTTATTACACTGGGCATATGGACGCTTCAGTTATCTATTTAACATTATATTTAACATTATGTTTTATGATAATAAATGTTGAATACGCTACAGATTTTATTTCTAGGTATTGACAAGTAAAATATTTTATGACTTCTGGCTTACTCCTGGAATGATGAAAAACGACTCCCTGGATGAATGAATGAATGTGCTGCTAAGTAGCATTAATTTGCGTCAGTACTGCATCTGCCAGCTCCATTCTCAGCCACTCGCTCAATTATTATTGCCAAGAGCAGCAATTGCCCAGAAAGGGGAGTGTGAAGGGCTTGTTACCAGCTAGAGACTTTCAAACACACACAAATAGATAGACTGAGTCCTCTGGTTTTGAGATGGGTCACTCTTTTTATCGTTATCATTTGAATTTCATCTGATCATAATGAGCAGTGCCAGCATGGCAGTTACTACATTCATGTATGAGTATGTCAGCAAAAACAAAATTCAGGGTATTTTTTTTCCTCTTCATAGAGCATGTAGTCCTTAAGCTTCATCTGAAGTTAAGTATGAACTTCATGGAACTCATTCATATGAGAATGGTGTAAATTAAGTTCTAGAGTAAAATAGCATTAAATATAGCAGTGATGAAAGCAACTTCTGTAGAGAAGGCCTCATAAGTGACTGTTATCTTAATCCAATTTAGACATTACCAACTCAAAAGAAAACAAAATCCCTGTGCAATTACAGTGAGAGACAGAAATTATCTGAGCTGTGTACATCACTGTTACCAGTTCCAAGCAAAAGAGGCAGAGAATGATCATGGGATGGGTAATGGTTACAATTAGCATTTCAGAGAGGATATTCTGGGTTGAGTTACTGGTTAAACCTAAAGAAAATATATTTGACTGAGAGCATAAATAATAGCGTGAATTGCTACATTGCTAAGGAAAATACAACTTGCTCCAATTAAAACAGTTTTCTTGCTGTAAAACAATCCCACTAGTCTCATTTAGGTAGGTTTGGGGATTTTTTTACTGATTTAAATGCAAATTACCAAAGCCTGGAGGGTTGCTGTGGTTATTTCGTACCATACAAGAAATCAGCTTATATATATTGGAGGATGAGTCTTCGTTCTGGAGGAATTTTCAAGAAAAATCTATGTAGTTTGTCTCTGTAAATTAGAATTTCCTTAAAGCTGTCTATAGTGCAGCATGAACCATAACAGTCCCTAGGCAGACTGCAGCCACGTATCCTTTTCACCTCCAGCTGGATGCTGAGCTGCTTCAGAGCAGCAGAATTTCTGCTGGAAAATATTAAATACATTTATGCCCTAAATCCTTCGGTACTTACTGTTTGAAAAGAACCGATCCACTGATTTGGGGTGTTTTTTAGTGCCACAATGATCTACATGCTCTAGGCAATCCTGCTTCAGCAGGGGAGTTGGACTAGATGATCTCTATGGTCCCTTCCAACTCTAAAAATTCAGTGAAATGATAGTAAGCAAATTTTTGGCTCTAGGGTGAACCGCTCTGCCCACACTTTATAGTTTTGAGCAGACTGGAGGGGCAGTTTCCAGTTCTCTGTCGAGCGAGGGGTTTAACCCCAGCCAGCAACTCGTCCCACACAGCTGCCTGCTCACCCCCCCTTCCCTGCAGAAGGGCAGGGAGAAAAGGAGGGGAAAGGGAAAAAAGAAAAAAAAAAAACCTCATGGGTTTGAAACCAAGACACCTTATTTTTAAAAAAAGAAATTTGTGGGTAAATTTCAGAGACTAAAGAATTTGGGCTATTCCCTTCCAGAGCCTCAGGGGACCCTTGTTAAGAATGACTTGAAATTTTTGAGTATCTGTTGTGCCTACAGTGTGGGAACAGGATAGTTTGAAAAGGCAATGCAGCTTACTTAAAATTAATATTATGAGCAACTCCAGTTGTGCACTAAATACCACAGATCTTATATATGTGTGTCACAGAAAGTTGTGTTAGAAACTGTGGAAGAGATGCCCAAGTATAACTGCAGCAGTTTTGCGGAATGTAATTTGGGATGTAAGGAAAAGTTACAATTCTTCCAGAGCAGAGTGGCTAATGTGAGTGCTTAAATCTCTGTGCTTAAGCCATTGCCACCGGCTCAGCAGAATTTTGGGTTTTGGTAACAGGAGAAAGATCCTACAGTTTGCTGACAGGAAAAAGCATCATGACAAACGGACAGTCCGCTGGACACAACAACAGATGATGCTGGCTTTTTGATATCTCTTCCTTTTGATTTGTCATGCAAACCTGTAGCTAAAATTTGAAATATTTGTTAGCTGAGTAACTCCCTTTTATTTTTAAATCATAGAGAAGGTATTGTTCACCATGTTGAGCATAACAGTGACCACTGAGAATTGTGCCCAGCTAATTTCTGCTGAGTTCGGAGAAGGGGTTGGGCTCTCTCTATCTTGCTGGCTCACATACTGCCACTAAAGGTTGTCATTCCTGTAGTAATATAGTATTATAAATATGCAAATGCATTCTTCAGAACAGACAGTGATGAGATTAAACATAGTCATGTTGAGTTGCTTAGCTTTTGATTCTTTTCCATTTCTTTTTCTTCTTTTTTTCCGAACAGCATGGGTCGCAATTGTAAAGGTAAACAATCAAACTAAAGAGACAGGAGAAATCTCATTACAAGTGGAATGAATTGATTGCTTTTCAACCATGCAATGAATACTTTCCACTGTGCCATTAAAAAAAATAATGTACGCAGTGAGCTGGAATAGATTTTTTTTTTTTACATAAACTGTAGCAGTAAGAGCATGGATTCTCTTTAAAAGAAGCAGAAAACCATATATCAATGTTTTTTAAACACTTCTATTTCTTGGGCTAGTTCCCTGCTGGAGCTTCATAGGAGAGAGTACACTCTTGGGGCTTGCACCATTTCTCCATACTCCCACTCTCCATACTTCCACATCTCCTACCTAAGAGCCCTTACTGACTGGAGACAAAAATCTAAGGGACAGTTGTCTGAAGCGGGACCTCACCCCTAATGACAGAAGTGAGAGCAGATCAACACATTAATCATAATCACAGAATTATATGGGGTTGGAAGGGACCTCTGGAGATCATCTAGTCCAACCCCCTGCCAAAGCAGGTCCACCCAGAGCAGGTCCCACAGGAACGTGTCCAGGTGGGTTTGAATGTCTCCAGAGACGGAGACTCCACCACCTCCCTGGGCAGCCTCTGCCAGGGCTCTGCCATCCTAGGAGGCTATCAGTTAGTCAGGCATGACTTCACCTTGGTGAATCTGTGTCAAAGGCTTCCAATAGATGTCTTTTCCTCCACATGCTTTTAGACTAGGTTTTTTTTTTTTGACTGGTTATTAAATTTTTTACAGGATTAATTCCATATATAGGGGATGTGAACAGCGCCCAATAACTTTCTGGCTTGAAGCATAATGTATTTTTTCATTAGATCATGTCTACCATGAGCACAGTGTCCTAATAGTGGAGAGTTAATTTTCTGGTAGTATTCTCTTGACTTCAGTGGTTTTTCAAGAATATTATATAAATAATGCTTTGATAGCCCAAAAGGGAAGGAAAAACCTGGAAGTTTTGTCTATATGAGGTGATGATCCAAGTATTGCATTATATTCTTTCCCAATCCTAATCGCTTTACTGAAATATGGGAACAAAAGTGTCTTCTTCAGTGTCCTGAGTTGCAAAAGCCTTTGAGTATTATAACCATTTAAGCCATTTAAACCATTAAATAACCATAAATAACCATATAACCGTTTAAACCATTTAAGTCTGTTATAACCATTTAAGCTTATGCAGTGTGGTTGCATATGCAATATTTCCTTCCAAATGAGAGTGGCAGCATTCTGAACAAGAATAAGAAATTATGAAAGACACCAGAAAGTAAAAAAAAAAAAAAAAAAAAAAAAAAAAAGAAAAAAAGAGCAGGATTATGCCCTCATCATATACCTTCAAGATATGAGCAGGTTTAGAGCAGTACACTTCTGCTCTTGCAACACACTTATTTTTTTCCCTCTCTAAATCTCTCCAGCTTCCTG